CCCCAGTGGGGGGCATGCAGGAGGCAGCCGATCAATGACTCTCTTGTCATTGATGTTTCTATCTCTCTCTCCCTCTCTCCCTTCCTCTCTGAAATCAATAAAAAAATAAAAATAAAAAATAAGATTTCTTTCTTCTGTCATTTATCAGTGAAACTTCCTACGTACAATTTTTGGTGGCATTTTTAAACCACAGTTCTTCTCCCTCCACATATTCTCTCTGGATGGCCTCACCCACTGTCATGATTTTAATTCCTAAGTATAGGTTCTGACTGTGAACATCTCTGTCTCTTGTTCTCACCTGAACTTCAGACTTGCATATCTCTTATGTTCTATACATATGTCCTTGGATGTCCCTTCAAACTCAGTGAGTCTCAGTGAAAACTCACTGCTCTTCCCTCTTGGTTCCCAAACAGTCTCCTCAAGGACAATGACCTTATCTGGGCAAATTCCTGCTATTTTCTGTCTCTTGCCTACCTCTCTGAGGAAAGCAGTAACTCTCCTGCCATCAGTTAATCAAGTTTCTTTTGGCCCTCTCCAGCCTTGACCTTGACTATTTCTACCTGTTGTGGGGACAGAAGGGTGGCAAGTGAAGGGAAAGCACCACTAATAATCACTTAGAGATAGTCTTAAAGCAAATAAGTTGTAGTTCAAAGGCTTCATCTAATCCATTCATTTATTCATTCAGTTAGTCAGTCGTTTAATAAATATTATTAAATGTCTATTGTATACCAACCTTCTTCTGATGCTCTGAGAAATGTAAAGGGCACATTCTTCAATTTCAAAAATTATGAAATGTCGATGGGAAATGACAGCTTTACATACAAAGGACTATAACAAACTGCAGAAAAGACAAATGCTCTGAGAGTGATATAAATGCTAAGGGAGATCAGATGAGGAGAATTAGAGAGAGGTCCACGTGCAATAAACTAAACATCAGCATACTCGTGAAAGAATGATGATGGGGTGTTATGGACTGAACCGTGTTCCTCCCAGATCCACATGTTGAAGTCTTAATCCCCAGCAGCTGAGAACAGGACTGTATTTGGAGATCAGGTCTTCAAAGAAGTGATTATGTTAAAATTAGGTAATTGGGGTGGGCCCTAACCTGATATGAGTGGTGTCTTTTAAGGAGAGGAAATTTGGAGAGAGAGACGTCTGACATATACATGCAGTGGGATGGTCATGTGAAGGCACAGAGAGAAGGTGGCCCCCTGTAAGTCAAGGACAGAGCTCTCACAAGAAAACAAACCTGCTTGACATTTTTTTTTAAATCCTTCGGAGGATATAGTTATGTTGATTTTGAGAGAGATAGGAAGGGAGAGAGAAGCACTGATGTGAGAGACATGGATCAGTTGCCTCCCATACACATGCTGAGTATCGAATCCACAAACTAGGTATGTGACCTGACTGGGAATGAAACCCACGTTGTTTTGGTGTACGGGGCGACTCTCCAACCAACTGAACCACCCAGCCAGGACTGCTGACATCTTTATCTTGGACTTCTAGCCTCCAGAACTCTGAGAAAATAAATCTCTGTTGTTTCAGCCACCCAGTCTGTGGTATTTTGCTATGGTAGCCATAGCAAACTAATACAGGGTGTAACTGATATAATCCTGAAACAATATTTGCCTGAGAACCATGCTAAATTCCTTAAAAAACTTTCATTCTACTGATGCCCACTTTGGTAAAATTGTGAACAAGTGAAGTCTCCTTTAGTTTCTCCATCCCTTGTCTTTTAAAATCCCCTCTTCCTGCTCCCCAGGTAGACTTTCTGCTGGTAGAAGTTCTCCCCCAGCTGAGAAGAATTTGTCGAAAGTGAGGGGTACTTAATGCTCCTGACATCATCAGTGTTTGTGCAAAGGGAGCTAACCCCCTGAAAAACTGACTCATCTTCTCTTCATTACCTCAGGTCATCAGCATTCTTTGCAGGAAGTAAGGACTTCATTATTGAAAGGGGACTGTGTTGCTTAAGATATTATATATGTGAGAAAAAATAAAGCAAAAAAACATATTACAAAACTTGATAGACTGCCTGGTAAATAAATGATGAGGGGCATTGCAGAAAGCTTGGCTTCTTGCAATGCATCCTTAGGTGCAAGAACCAGGCAGAGAGGCTATATAATTGCTAAGAGCAGAGTACCAACCCTGCCCCCAGTCACATAAACTCTACTCACGGTTAAGCAATCAGATATCCACGTCTGAGCCTTCTTGTTGATCACCAATCCCTGTGGAATTGGATTGGGTGAACTTGGAATGTTTTAATGATACCTGGAATAAAAGGAAAATGGAAACTAATTAAGAGAATGAACTTTTGTTAATATAGACAATATAAAATATCACTTTTACTCATGTACTAGTGTTAGAACTTAAAGGGGAAATGAGGCATAGCTATAAATATATATTGTGCATTTTAAAGAAAATAATACAATTATTACAGAATCGATCCCTAAATTATTCTAAATAATAGGGCAGAGAAGGTGATATAGTTAATACAAAACAGAGAGTACTACACATGCCAATAGTCCAAGGTAAATGCCTTAGAATAAGGTCAAGGACACCCCCTTTCTAAGCTCAACCTTCAAGGCTTCTAAGCTTCAGACTTCAAAGACCCTTTGCTTTGCCCAAGGTCTTCTGCTGTTGATGGTTAGGGACTCGACCAGTTGGTAGAAGAGGAGGTACTGGAGGGTTAAACATAACTATAGAAATAAGCTAGTAGAAAATATAGAGTTAACTCTCTTGCAATTTGAAACACAGCAATAAATATTTAACATTAGACCAAAGAAATAATAACTGTGACAGTAAGTCACCATCACACTGCTAAACCTGCCCCAACATGATACTACAAGGGATGCAAATGAGTATGGGTGTGGGAACGGCAGCTTTGGCTTTTTAATGCTTGCCTTTCATTCAGTAGAATAATGTGAGTCTCAACTGGATCTTAAGATCATACCTTGCTTTCCCCCTCCCCTACCCCCACCTCTGTCATTTTGCACGGGAAGAAAATCGAAGTTCACAGAGATCAAGGGATTGGCTCCAAATAGGACTGCAAGAGATTGGTCCTGGAGTCCTAGATTCTCATTTCAGGTTTCACAAGTAAACAAACAAACAACAAATCAAACAGAAACCTGCCTAGTGTGTTACCTACGCTTTGTATGTATCTGAGGAAGGCTGGTTTGCAAACTAGGAATCAGGGCTCCTAAATTAGTCAGCAAATCCAGGTGCCACCCTTTCCTTACTCCGAGGAGTCACCCAGGCTACCTTTAGCTCCCTTCCCTGAATACCTACCATCTCCTCCTACTCATCCCAAACGCCTGCGCCAATTATTGTATGGCCGATGCAGTTAATGCACCTTGCTTAGCATACAGGGATATGGGCCCTGCCTTAACAGAGCCAGAAATCTAGTTAGAGTGATAAAACATATCATTATACTTCGAAGTTACAAAGCCAGAAAGTGGTAAGAGCTCCAAATCCCATTTAAATTCCTTTCCTTCTACCGTGGGCCAAATTTTGGAGGCCTTTTCTATAAATCTGAGAAGGGGACAGGAAAACCCGTGAGCCATCCCCAACTGGAAAGCTTGCCTAAACCTGGTTCATAATCTGGTTCCTTTCAGCTCTGAGTCCTCCTGCCACCGCCCAGTAGGGCATTACAAAATGAATATTGAGCGAATGAATAAACAGAAACCATGAACAAGTTTCAGGGAAGATTGTGAATTCCCCGAAACTGTAGGCCAAATTTTGTGTGTTTAAGCTTTCACTAGCTTTTGCTGATTTCCCGAAGCCATCTCGGCTCCTTCCCTGCCCCCTCCCCCAACTAAGAACCGCTTGCTCAGTGATTTGAAGAGTAGTAGAGGGTGGAATTTAGATGAGACAAATTACAAAGTGTGTTCCTATGAGTAAATGTATAAACAAAAACAGATTTAGTGCCCTCTATGTGCCAAGAACAGGGTATACAACAAGAAGCAATTAGCCATTGTACTTGGCCTGGTGGCACTTATGCTGTGCTGTCACCCTAAATGGGGATTCTCAGACTGGCTGCATATCAGCATCTTCCGGGGATGTTTCTTTAAAAAAACATACACACACCAAAATATATGGGACACACCTCAGAGGGGCCCAGGAATTTGCACCTTAAAAATTCTCTACATTGGAATGCTGGTGCAGATGATAGCATCCACCCCATGACGCCTCCCACCCTTGACCCTCAGACTGCAGTGAAGGCTAGGAGAGCAGAAGAAAGCAAGGAGTGACCCGTCTGGATTGTAAAGGAACACACAGAAAGACACTGAAATTTGTAAAGAAAAAATTCACAGTATCTTTGAGGGGGAACTCAAGAGGTTAAAAATTTTTAGCTTTGGTTATACAGTTAATAGGCTTGGTGATTAATGCACTAGAAAGCCATTGTTCCAGCAACCTTTGTGCCCCAGGAGGACTGCAAGCAACCAAGATGGTATCTAAGTCAGTGTGCTCCAGGGAGAGAACATCCAGTCAGCAGCCCAGGACACAGATAAAGAATCACCCGTCAGCAGATGAAGGGATGCTAGCAGAAGCGCCAGACTGCAGCTTTTATCTGATTCACCCTTTTCCCCCGAATTCCAACCCCCTTACCTACTTTTCTTCTGAATTCCAAACCCTTTACCTACACTTTCCTTCTCCCTATAGAAAAGGTTGGCTTGAAATGAGATATAAGACGGTCTTTAGGACACATATTCCTCCATCTTCTCAGATCTCCAGCCATCTGAATAAAGCGCCCATGAAGATCACGTCTAGGAATATATCCCAAGAAACCAGAAACACCCATCAGAAAGGATATATGCACCCCTATGTTCATAACAGCACAATTCACCATAACTATAAGATCTGGAAACAGCCTAAGTGCCCATCAGTAGATGAAAATCAGATGCTCAAACCTCAGAGGGAAGGTAGGGAAGGGTGGGGGTAAGGGGGAGAGATCAACCAAAGGACTTGTATGCATGCATATAAGCCTAACCAATGGACACAGACACCAAGGGGGTTAGGGCATGTGTGGAGAGGTGTGTGTGTGGGGGGGCAATGGGGAGATAAGGACACATACGTAATACCTTAATCAATAAAGGAAAAAACAAAACAAAACAAAAAGATTCCATCCTTTTCTCTACTTATTGGTTCTGGTAGTGACAGGTAGCACAAATGCCGACTTTTCCGGTGTCACCTTCCCCAAACACTGAGAGGGTCAGTATTTATTTGCCTAATTTCCCTTTCCCTGCTTTCTATTTCCTCAAAATTTTTATTTTAAAACCTGTGGATGAATACAGAAAAAAATAGAGGAAGAAAATGGTATCAGTAGAAAAACATTTCTTTGGTCTATAGAGTCTGTGTATATGCTTAGGAACTATCTTGTTAGTGAGACAAAGTTTGAAAGGCTTTTAAGAGAAACCATAAAGTGAATGGCAAAGTGGCTAAGAGTAGAGTTGGTCTTCAGATATACTTTCCTTTCTATTTTCAGATTTAGGATCAAAGGGCCAGGAAGTTGATAAAACTCTCACCCCTTGCTGTAAGATCTTTCTCTCCCGCCAGTTAGCTTACAACTTCAAATAGATGCCTGGGTGAACCATTACTCACTGATCCCTTAGTCCACAGGGTTTAATTCACTGGCCAACACACAGATTGTGGCTGACCTGGCTCAGAGGTAGTCACTAAAATTCTCTGCAGGCAAGGCCTGATTGAGATTGGACATGGTAAGGAAGGAAAGACCTCGATGAAGGAAGACAGGAGGAGGAGGAGGAAAAGAAGGAAGAGGAGGAGGAGGAGGAGGAGGAGGA